GTGAGCCAGAAGAAAGCGTTCGGCCCCGGGCTTTCCCTCGCGCGGCTTTCGATCGATCTGTCGGATGCCGAGAGGATTCTTCGATCCGGGACGAGAAGAAACGTTGGCAAACGATTCAGAACGCGAAAACAACGGGGAGAAAGTAAACCGGCGACGAGCTTCTGTTGACTCAGCCTACGCTCTCGACGTTTAAGCTCAAAATTGATCGTCGGCCCTCGCGGGCTGCCGGACATTTTGAGTTTAAATCGCTCGAAATTCCCTACGTTCTGGACCCTGAGTGTAGAACCGCGGCGGGTGGACTGATCGGCTCGCGGAACCGGAAACGAAGGGGGAAGGAGAACAGATCCGAGACGCGTGTCCGTCGTGGAATCGAAGAAGAGTTCGGTGGAAGCCGGTTCCGATCGGGCGAGGAACGAACACGCGCGCCGTGAAAAGAGAAAACAGAGGTATACACAAGGGAGCACGAGTAGCAAACAAAGCTGTCGCTTTGCATCGTGCTCGCCACGTCAGACCAAGTTTCCGTTCGCATCCGCGCGTCGCTCGGCCGTCGTCGTCGGACAGCGCCGTTCGCCGTAAATTCTCGTCGGGGATGTCGTTCGCGCGCGACGGATTCTACGCCGGGATAACGTTTCCGTGGACTTCTCTCTGCGCTTTGAAAATCGAACAACCTTCCAACCGTTCCGTGGCGGAGAATTACGGGGGGGAACGGCGGCTACGCCCTTTCCCGGGGAAAGGATCCGCTCGTTTCCAGCCAATTACGAGAGGAAACACGGGGATCGAGTGTCTACGAGTTGCAAGCTTCTACCGATCGATGGGAATTTACCTTAGGAAGACTAAGCCTTGACGTCAAGCCGCACGATCACTTGTTTTCGAAGCTAAAGATAAAGGTAATAATATCTCTACTGTATCGAGAACTCTTCAAAATCAATCTTGGAATCATAGATTACAGTCCCTTGTAATAACTCCGCTAAACGACAATGAACAGTTTCTAGTTTTGATCGTTCTACGCTGGGGAAATAGTCTCGACCTTTGGCAAATGATGCGAAAGTAGCGACCCTTAGTCTTTCTAGGGTGTTGAGTTAAGGATAGGGTCGGAAGCTAAAACCGTTCCACGGTGGCTAACTGGCTCATGCGTTTTGCTCGATCGAGTGTTCGGCCCAAGGGTGGTGGCCATTGGCTCTCGCATGATCTCGTTAATTACATAACAGTCTGCTGAACGCAACGTCGCAGAGCAGATCAAGCTACGATAATAGGGTCTATTAGGGGTGTCGGTGCTAATTGTTACACGTACTCAGGATTAATCATAGGGTCCAGAAGTGGAAATGTCGTCGCGACGGTGTTAGTATGCAAAGTGAGCGCGACGTACTCGCGGGTAAAAAAAATAGAAAAGCGTTATGAGTTTGTTTCGGGGTGGTGCGTGAGGCGCGAGCGATCCCGAGGATCGAGACCTCGATCTTCTCGGGATCGTTCGCGCGGCTAGAAGTGCACGCTCGAGCGTATCTATACAAGCTTGATCCGTGATCGAGCGCGCACGCAAGCTGCTCCGCGAACGGGAAGGATAAACCGGCTCAGTCTAGCAACTAATCTACTATCGATCACTTACAAACGTAAAATCACATGGATCGAGGACGGATATATCGTGTGACCAAGGTTTATCCTACCCTTAGAAGCTAAAGGCAGGGGATGCACCGATCGAGATCTTGCTCGACGATCTCACTGCGTCAAAGTTCTTCAATTTCTCCTTAAACAACCATCTCTACAACAAAATTCTGCTACATCAAGACACTATTGCCATTTCAAGATTAAAGAACCCCCAATTGCGAATCGTTGGATCTTAATTCTAGAAAGACTCAAAACATCTATCTTCAGAAAATTAATACTCATCGAAGCAACTGTGTTCCAAGGAAGATATTTTCTAAACATCGCGAAATAATCAAAAATCCACTCTCTAAATCGTCCCAACATCGAAACTATACAACGATCACCGGTAGCCAAAGAACTAGAACTTCCTGATCGAGCAAGATCAACCGACCGGTGTCTTAAGTGTCTACGCCCGGGGTCAGGCAAAAAAAAAATACAACAGGGGTAGAGTAGTAATAGATGCATGATAAATCAGCTTACATGTGAGTTAGAGGCGGAATGGCGGAATGATGCTGTGCGAGCGGGTCCGGCGACGGCCCTGGCGAGTAGACGCCGGCTCCGTGTTGCACGACCCCCTGATCGACACCCTGCGGCAGATACATCGAGATCATCTGTCTAAGGTCGCCCTGTGACTGCTGCGTCTGCTGCTGGCCCATGTATTCTCGCTTCACGACTTGGCCACCGGCCCCGGCCGTTGACGATGCTCCCGTGGGCGTCGGCGTGTGTATCCCGCCGCTCGCCGGACTCGTCGGCTCAGATTTTATACTGCTACCGCTCGGACTGTGACTGGACATCTGAGATCCGGGCTGCGCTTGGTGATAGGGGGATGGCGATCCGCCGGGCACAGTGGTGCTGCCGTATCCACCGTAACCGTTCATGTAGCTGTTGATGGGGCTCGGGCTGCCGCCGCCCATGTGGTGTCCCATGTCGTACCTGGGGTAGCCGGCGGCGGACGCAGCGGCCGCGGCGGCCGCGCCGCCCATGTGACTTCCGTAAGCGACGTGCTGTTGGTACGCCGCCGTCGGATCGTGCATCATGTATCCATTCGGCATGTATCCATTGGGCATCTGATAAACGTCACGGGAGAGCTGCGCCTGTTGGGGACCACCGGTCGTCCCGACTTGTCTCTGATCGACGCCCAGCATACCTCCAACCCCGGGCACACCGCTGCCCAACGGGAACTTGTCCTTCTTCAACAGCGTTTTTGTCTTGCGTCGCGGCCTGTACTTGTAATCCGGATGCTCCTTCATATGTACTGCTCTCAATCGTTTCGCTTCGTCGATGAAGGGCCGCTTCTCCGTCTCGCTGAGCAACTTCCACTCGGCGCCGAGCCGCTTCGAAATCTCGGAGTTATGCATCTTCGGGTTCTCCTGCGCCATCTTGCGCCGCTGTCCCCGGGACCACACCATGAACGCGTTCATCGGCCTCTTCACCCGATCTATGTTGTTGTTCTTACTGGTGTTGTTGTTGTTATTCGGCGCTTGGTGATGTTGCTGGGGCTGGGCTTGCTGCTGTTGCTGCTGATGGGGATGGTGCTGTTGCTGCTGTTGCCCGCCACCTTGTTGCGCCAATGAGTGCATGCTTTGCTGCTGCTGTTGTTGCTGCTGCTGTTGCGCGGCCTGCATCGAAGCGTAGTGATGCTGGGATGTTTGATGATGATGCTGGAGACCGAGTCCCAGGCCTCCGGCGCTCGGCGGGCTGCCGGACAGCGCCGGGCTGTGCACTATCGAACCCAGGCTACCGTACGGCGAGACCCCTGTATGATGACCCATCGGAGAAACACCCTGATGAGGGTGCGGTGGCATTTGAGCGTGTAAACTGCCACCCTTCAGGTCCGACTCCATCGTGAGCATGTCTTCTTCCCGGTGCCCGTACAGCTTGGTGCTTTTACAGGGACCGGTCGACGTTAAGAACAAAACGGGCGAACCGCTTCTTCGGCCGGGATGTACCGGTCGAACGTCCGACACCGTGCTACACCACGCTCACTGTGCAGCGGCGAAGACTATACGGCCACCGCTCCAATGGACCTTCTTCGGGATTGTGACATGTGTAGCGGTTTTGATCGTCCCTCGATCATACGCTCTCCGGTAGGATAAGTCTGTACGTGTTGTCCCGAGTCAGGGGTACTCCGAATCAGCACCACTTGTTGAAATGACTGCGACTGCACACCAACGATCACTGTTTCTCACACGAAAACAAACGTCCCTGCGTTTCCGTCTCGGCTCTGGTTCTCGGGGGAATTCGGCAGGCAGAGTCACCGTGTAACAAATCCCGTCGCACAATCGTCACCAAGCAAACGTGTTATCGAATACGACAGTCAACCGAGCACACCGCACATTTTACGATCTACGAATCCGCGCATTCCTGGATCCTGTTACTCCGTTTCTCTGTCCTTCGGCTGTTGGTAATCACGAGAAGTCACCGTGAGTGTAAAGTTTCTCTCGCTCCCTCTCAGTTGTCTCTAATCATCGTGTGTACACGATATCAACACGGTCCCGGCTGGTCGCACGATCCACGCTGCAGTGTCCGAACGAGAACTGACGACACACTGTCACTTTCTTCCCCTGCTAGCACGCTGCGCGTTCTCTCTCTCTCTCTCTCTCTTTCTCTCGCTCTCTCCCTCTCTCTCTCTCTCTCTCTCTCTCTCTCTGTCTCTCGCTCCCTCTATCGTCTCTCTTTCGGAGTCCCGACGACACGGCTCGTGACTGGCTGCAGGCTAGCG